ACAGCATTAATTTACCCCGAAATTGGTTGCCTCGTCGAATCTACCAAAAAAGACATGGCATTTTTCATGGATTCGACAAAACAGCCAATACTGGGGTGAATCAATTCTGTGGTCGATCCCCTACTCGAGGTCTACCGTCGAATGCCCCCAAGGGCCCCGGGCAAGCCCACAATTTGCCCGACTAAGTCATGGTTGGCCCGAAGGTGGGTCAATGTTTCACCCCATGCTCCAGGTGGTCCAAAAAAACAAAATTGATTCAAGGCCACGCTGTGAGAGGCATCGCAAGAACACCGAGGCGGCAGCGAAGGGATCTTCACTGTCTCCAAAGCACCTGGATGACCGCACGACACCCCAGGAGGTCCCAAGACAGCTACAGTAGGCCCAAAGACCAGCTCAGGCCGACTAACAGATCTCCCCGAGGTGCGAGACGTACCAACTTCGGGAACGCATCCAAAACCGCAGTCGTCATCAACCCTCGCGCTGACTGTACGCGTCTTCAGGAGCAACGATAGGGGGGAAAAGCTCAGGGGGGAGGGGGGGGGGGGGGGGGGTCGAGCCAAAATCGGGCTGTCGGGGACCCGATCGGCGATCAATATGGGCCGCTGGCGGGTCGAGGCATCCCCCCCTGGGCCCGCCACCCCTTCTGACGTCGACCCCGACGTCTGCGCCGGTGCACCGGCGCACGGAGACCGAGCGCCGTGGGCCAGAGCTGGGACGCACAGAGGCACAGAGGCAGAGGGGAACGATTACTGAACACTCCGCCTCCCCGGAAACTCGGAATTGGCACGCGCGGGGGAGACTGCGGTCGAGGTGCAACTCGTCAGACCCACCGCCAACTTCGAGGGTTGGGCGGAGGGGGAGGCGTTGACAGACGAATGTGGCATGTGTTCGCTATTTTTCCGAAGCCTGTACTAATAGTATATGTCCTTCTTGGAGGCGCGCGTCCGACCCGAACATATACTATACCCATATTGTAGCATATCGTTCCCCGAGCCGCGTGGCCAGAAAGCGCCCGCCACGACGCATGTACTGGAAGATTTCTCGGTGCGCGCGTGCCCCATTGGGGCGGCGACGCACACATAGTAGTAGCATCTTGGGGTGACGCCGAAGAGCTGCAGCGGGCCACTCGCAATCGAAGGCCGTGACTGCCTCGGAGCGACAGCGAAACGCGGCCACGGGGGGGGGGCTCCAGGAAGCCACCACCACTAGACCGCTGTGCAGAGCCAGGTTCTCCTGCGCCGCCGGCCAGGAGGTAAGGGTGAGTGGCAGAGTAGAGACAGAGGGAGGGGGAGGAGACGAAATGGGAGGAGCGGAAGGGATGCGTCAGAACAGCACGTGTCGAGGCGACTGCAGCAGGAGCTGTAGCAAACATCCCTGCTGAAGGAGGCGGAGGACGACGAAAACCCATGGGAAAGAGAGTACAGTGGAAACCAGTCCACAAGAAACCTTCACAAAAAACCCAACCCTGAGACCCCAGGACGTCCATTGATTTGGTGTGGGAACGTCACGCCTTCCACCGCAAAACCGTCGAAATCGAAGAAATCGACGGCACCCTGGAGGCAAGCATGATGTTGTTTCTTGGCATGGGCCCCCACTGTAGGGACGAGAACGAAGAGGAAAACAAGGGAAACAAAGACGAGCACAGGGACGAGGACACGGGGCACAGATGCCGAAAAATGCAGCAAGGCGAAAAGAGCTCGCGGCAAACTTCCTCGGAGCGCCTCGCGCGCCTGCACAAAGGACCGCGGCATGTAAGAAGATGGCGCGGCGCAGTTTTTTGAGGGCAAACAGTCCGCCCCCAAAACGATCACCCCGATACGCGAGGCCTTTTTGCAAAGGCGCCCGCAAAACGACCAACGAACAGGGCAAGGCTCTGTAGGAAACGCCCAGGGCCGTTTGATAAACGCCACTTGTCGGGTCCAGGTGGTTTTCCTCCATTAACTCATGAAGAAACAGTCCGGTTTCGCATGGCACGGCTACCAGGATGATCTGGCACATCACCCCCGAAGGCTCGGAACGACATTTGACCGAAGCCTGGCTCCGGCTGCAATCAGCACCAACGCATCCGATCCTGGTCGGCCATAGCGAGAACGCGCGCGCCCGCAACGAGAGAGGTCCCAGGTTCATCAGGGTAGGTCATTTCAGGAAAGGACGCGACCCCGCAAAGAGAGAGAGAGAGAGAAGAAAAGAAAGAGAGAGAGAGAGAGAACAAACAAAAACAAGCAAACAAACAAAACATGAAAGAGAAAGAGAGAGAGAGAGAGAGAAAGAGAGTCAGTTAGAGAGCGGGCGCTAGCGTTAGCTGTCCGCGCGCAGTGTGGAGGAGGAAGACACTCGACCCCTCTGGAGCGAGGAGTTGAGAAGGGACCGACCGGTCCAGTATTTCTAAAGGCCTACCATAACACGTTCCTCAAACCCAAAGAAAACAGCGCTCTTAGAATCCCGATGTGTTAAAACAAAACAGCTTCAGCCAGCCATGTCCTTGGAGCATTTCGTGCATACCACTAAAGGCTCTTAGCACATTCGCGAGCCAGGACGTTTCGCCACTGCTCAAACGAGGAAGGGGCGCGGACAACTGGCGCATGCGCGACGCTGGCGCATCGACGCTCGCGCCCGCGGAGCTCCCGGCAACGCCCAGGTGGCACACGGGCTTCATGACCCGAGGAGGAGCAGTCGAGACATCGGAGGCCCTTCCAAAAGAAGGGGGGGAGGAAGAGGAGGAGGAGGAGCAGGAGGAGAAGGAGGAGGAGGCACAGCGTTACGCACGATGTCTGTTCGATCTCGGAAACTCCGCACCCCGCACTGCGGGGAATGAGAGTGGGCGGAAGCCCCTCATATAATAACCTCGCAAGCGAAGAAACACAGAAAGAAGAAGGGGAATCGGAACGAGTAGCCGTGCACGAACCCGCAAACAGCGAGGCAGACGAGCCGTCGGCGGCGCCTGGGGGCCCTGTTGTACCAAAACCGTCTGGGGGCCCAGTTGTACCAGCATCGTCCTTCGGGGATTGACTCGGGGCAACCACGGTACAAAACCCGAAGAGCACCAGCAGGCCGTGAGGAAGAGGAGGAGGAGGAGGGCCGCAGCATTACGCTGAGTAGACAGTAGCCTACCACCGTAGTGTCATCCCTCGCTTGCTTATGTTTGAATATTGTCATCACCAGATCGTTATCACCTCCTTCACCTCCTCCTCCTCCTCCTCCTCCTCCTCCTCCTCCTCCGCCACCAGGTGAGCGCAGACTTCTTGTCCTGGCGGGCCCCTTCATATTTTTCACTGGCCCCGTTGCCTTCTGACGTGCCAACCACAGCGCCTGTGTGGGTTTTTGTACCTTCTTCACTCTGAACCCGTTTCACCATCCTGACGGTACGATCACAGTCGATCTAAAAAGTTGGCCTAACGCGAAAGGGCCGCCGATGCCACACCTGGCCCGAGACGACGGGGCAAACCGCGACAGGCTCACCGGACAATTTAGCCTCCTGACCGTGTTGGGACAGGGGAGGACCCCCTGGCGTTCGAGACATCGTCGGGAACTGACCCAGGGTCCCAACACCGTCCTGATTAGGCATAACAAGTGGCACGCGTGCCCTGGCTCTTGCACGAAGGAGCTGCGAAGGACAGGAGGCCCCCGCCTCGCTCTTCTAGGAGGGGGTTCGGTCGGTGTAGATGTTCATCCCGGATGCAGTTTTGATGAGAGTGGGGTCCGAAAGAGCTCCTGGTGTGTAGGCCACAGGTCTGCTGTCTGGACGAGGACGACGACGAACCACGAAGCACGAACCACGAAAATAAAGGGTCGGGGGCGAGGGGGGCTGGGGCCAGGACCACTGGAGCCGGAGCCAAGGGGTAGAGGCGAGGGGAAGCTGGGGCCAGGGCCAGGGGGGGGCCAGAGCCAGGGGAGGGGGGCGAGGACGACGACGAACCACGAACCACGAACCACGAAAATAAAGGGTCCGGGGCGAGGGGGGCTGGGGCCAGAGCCAGGGGGCCAGAACCAAGGGAGGGGCGAGGGGAAGCTGGGGCCGGGGACAGGGGGGCCAGAGCCAGGGGGGGCGAGGGGAAGCTGGGGCCAGGGCCAGGGGGGGGCCAGAGCCAGAGGGGGGGAGCGAGGACGACGACGAACCACGAACCACGAACCACGAAAATAAAGGGTCCGGGGCGAGGGGGGCTAAGGCCAGGGCCTAGGGGGCCAGAGCACGGGGCGAGGCGAGGGGGGCTGGGGCCAGGGCCAGGGGAGCCAGTGCCCAGGAAGGGGGCGAGGGGAAGCTGGGGCCAGGGCCAGGGGGGCTGAGGCCAGAGCCAGGAGGGGGGGCGAGGACGACGAGGAACCACGAACCACGAACCACGAAAATAAAGGGTCCGGGGCGAGGGGAGCTGAGCCAGGGCCAAGGGGGCCAGAGCACGGGGCGAGGGGGGCTGAGGCCAGAGCCAAGGGGGGGGCGAGGGGAAGCTGAGGTCAGGGCCAGGAGAAGCCGACGACGACGACGAACCACGAACCACGAACCACGAAAATAAAGAGGTCCGAGCTCTAGAGCACAACTGTGCAAGATAATTAAAAGGACCCCTAACCCCTAACCCTTTGGGAGAGGACCTAAGTCAGGAGGGCCAGGAAAATTAGGATAGGGGTCTTTCCTGCAGATGTATCCAACCAAAACGCCCAGACGCAGTATCTCTAAATGCGAAGACGGGGACTTCAGCGAGGCCACGTCTGCATCGTGCTATCAGGTTTAGGGGTTCGTTTATCCTCAATGACGCCCCCTCCCCCAGAATCACATCCTGCTCGCCTGACGGTGTGCTCACCAGAAGGGTGCCGAGTGAGAGGTGCCAAGGTGCGCGCGCGTCGGTTGTTGAGCGGCTCAGAGACGCGGAGCTGCGAGAACTGAGCCCGGCAGGCGGCGGAAAAGAAGCAGGACAGTACAGGGCGGCCGCGGAGGGGAGGGGCAACGATAAGGGGGGACTGGAATATGGGGGGATGCATCGACATGGAATCGGCGACACATCGCCAATAGATCGGCGACAGGCCCCCGATCGTGAATCCGCGCCTTCCTGGGCAGGTTGGGGCTATCGAGCCCCTATCGGCGATCAATGGGCGATTGGGGGTCGATGCATCCCCCCCTGTGCCTGTCCCCCTCTATCGTTGCCCCTGAGGAGGGGAGGAGCGAGCGGGGGGGGCGTCTTGAGTCTTCAACACAATCGCAATCGGGGCGCACGCAGGTGCAACTGCTCGGCCCACCGTTCCCGGACTTCCGACCCGCGGGGCAAGCTCGCATGCGCAGCGGGAGGGCCCGAGGGAGAACGTCCGGGGGTGGACTGGCTCAGGGGGACGGGGAACGTCGAGCTCCCGATAGCGGATTCGCACGCTGCTGGACGGGGTGGGTCGTCGGGCCCCTATCGGCGATCAATGGGCGATTGGGGTCGACGCATCACCCCCGTAAGCCTTCCCCCCCCCCCTCTAACGTTGCCCCCATGGGTTTGAGGGCCATACCTCGGCTCTACGGCGGCCGTTCGGGACGATCCGGGCACCCCCGGACGCCTATCGGCGAGGCGCAGCTGCTGGAAAGAACCTCGAGGCTGGAAATCAGACGAGATCCGACAAAAGCGCCCGAAAACCTCGAAAACCTAGACTTTCGTCCTCCCCTACGTGGAGGGGATGCCCTGGAGGAGACCAGACCGTGCCCGGCGCACGCCCGGCGGGGGAACAAAGGTGTCGTGGGGCAGCGACCAGTCGACGCCGTGTCCCCGCCCCTCTCGCCAGCATGACCTCCTCGCTTCCCCCTCCCCCGCCCTCACAGTCCTCATCCTTCTCCACCCTCCTCCGTCTCCTCCTCCTCCATCTTACTCCTTCTCCTCCTCCTCCTCCTTCTCCTCCTCCATCTTACTCCTCCTCCTCCTCCTCCTCCTCCTCCTCCTCCTCCTCCTTCCCCTCCTCCTCCTCCTCTCCTCGTCCTCCTCCTCCTCCTCCTCCTCCTCCTCCTCCTCCTCCTCCTTTTCCATCTCATCCTCCTCCTCCTCCTCCTCCTCCTCCTCCTCCTCCTCCTCCTCCTCCCCTCCTCTCCTCCTCCGCCCTCCTCCTCCTCCTCCTCCTCCTCCTCCTCCTCGTCCTCCTCCTTCTCCTCATCCTCCTCCCCTTTCTCCTCCTCCTCCTACATCATCTTCCTCCTCCTCGTCCTCCTCCTCCTCCATTCCTTCTCCTTCTGAAAAACTTCTCCGTGTTACACCCGGGGTCCAGTTTTTAGGGCGGGTTGGGCGTTTCGCCGGAGACTTCATCACCACTTATGACCCTGAAGAGTAAGAAATGACAACAGCTTCACAGATGGAGGGCGGGTCGTTTTCAAGATGTGGCTCTCGCCTTAACGCCACGCCCATTCGTTTTTAACATTTGAAAGGGCTTCACGGATTGAGGGCGGGTCGTTTTCAAAATGTGGCTCTCGCCTTAGTGCCACGCACATTCCGTTGCATTAAATTTGCAAGAGCTTCACGGATTGAGGGCGGGTCGTTTTCAAAATATGGCTCTCGCCTTAGCGCCACGCACATTCGCTTGAAAAATTACAAGAGCTTCACGGGTTGAGGGCGGGTCGTTTTCAAAATGTGGCTCTCGCCTGAGCGCCGCAATTTTTGGGTTTTCGAAACTTGCCAGAGTTTCACGGGTTGAGTGCGGGGCGTTTTCGAAATGTGGCTCTCGCATGAACGCCACGCACATTGGTTCAAAAAATTACAAAGAGCTTCTCGGACTGAGGGCGGGTCATGTTCAAAATGTCGCTCTCACCTTAGCGCCACGCACATTCCTTTTTAAAAATTGCAGGAGCTTCACGGATTGAGGGAGGCTCGTTTCCAAGATGTGGCTCTCGCCTAAGCGCCGCGCACATTCATTTTAAACATTTGCAAGAGTTTCACGGTTTGAAGGCGGGTCGTTTTCAAAATGTGGCTCTCGCATTAGTGCCGCGCACAGTCGCTTTTTTTTTAATGTGCACGAGCTGCACGGAGTGAGGGCGGTTCTTTTTCAACATGTGGATCTCGCTTTAGCGCCGCGCATATTGGTTAAAGATTTGAAAGGGCTTGACGGATTCCCATGGGCAACAAACCAGAAATAGTGTTCTGAAGGACTCAGGATTATGATGGCGCAACATGTACGCTGATTCGCGGTGCTGAAATCCCAGGAATGGCGACCTGGTACGATTCAAGATCGTAAAAGCGCAACAGTTAGGTTGTTCCGTGGCGTTGGAATCCCGAGAACGATGTTTGGCATGCTTCAGGGTCTTCAGACGGTTGCCTTCCGATGAGGCAGTTCCTTCAGTGGAAATGAACGTTGTAAGGGGCCTATGAAGAGGGAGCTTGGAGGGAGAGCTGATTCCACCGTCGTTAACGACTCGTGGGTTCCCACTGGTTCTTGTTCCTCCTCTTCCTCCTCCTGCTCCTCTAGCATCATCTCCCCCTCGCCCTCCCCCTCCTATTCCTCCTCATCCTCCTTTATCCGCCTCCTCCTCCTCCTATTAATAATACTATGACAACTCGTAGTACGATGGTGAGTGGTGGTTACATTCCGACTACATTTAGCAACAATAATAGTACCCGTATTGCTTGTATAACTGATTATGCTGCTGCTCAGAATAGTAACATGGTTAGTAGTAGGAATATGTATGAATGGCAGCCTTAGTGGTAGTTTTACTCATACAATTAATCCGAATAGTAATGCTAATAGTGGCGCTAGCACTAGTAAAAAAAATATGTTGCTTAGTTTTCTGACTAGAGTTCGTAGTATTACGGTTCGTCGCAGTAGCGTTCGTATCAGTAGTGGTGCTGCTATTCGTACAACTAGTAAAGCGATGACCAACAGCACTACTACTGGTAATAGGAGTACTAGTACTACCTGTCGTATTATCAATATTAGAATGTGCGTTAGTCTTCGAATTCTTAGTACCGCGCCCCTTCTTCGTACTGCCATTAGCTTGGTTAATTAGTGCTGCTGTTACAAGTAGCGATAGTATGAGTCTGCAGACGTGTCGCCTTATTACTCTAGTTTGTGTATGATTGTTAAGCAGTGGTAGTAGTAGTAGTAGTAGTAGTAGTAGTAGTAGTAGTAGTAGTAGTAGTAGTAGTAGTAGTAGTAGTGGTAGTAGTGATAGTAGTAGTCGTAGTGATAGTAGTAGTAGTAGTAGCAGCAGTAGTAGTAGTAGTAGTAGTAGTGGTAGTAGTAGTAGTAGTAGTAGTAGTAACAGGTGTCGTCGGCGTCCTTTTCCCAGTAGCGATAATGATGTTAGTCCCCGTGCTACGATTAATATTATTAGTACTCTTCATTGAAGTATTGTTACGGTCCGTGGTAGTGGTATTGACAGTAGTAGTAGTAGTAGTAGTAGTAGTAGTAGTAGTAGTAGTAGTCGCCGTCGTCGTCGTCGTCGTAGTAATAGCCGTAGTGGTAGTAGCAGTGGTAGTAGTAGTAGAAGTAGTAGTAGTAGTAGTAGCAGTAGCAGTAGCAGTAGCAGTAGCAGTAGCAGTAGTAGTAGCAGTAGCAGTAGCAGTAGCAATAGTAGTAGCAGCAGTAGCAGTAGCAGTAATAGTAGTAGTAGTAGTAGTAGTAGTAGTAGTAGTAGTAGTAGTAGGAGTCGTAGTAGTCGTAGTAGTCGTAGTAGTCTTAGTAGTCGTAGTGGTCGTAGTAGTCGTAGCGCGTCGTAGTAGTCGTAGTAGTCGTAGTAGTCGTAGTAGTCGTAGTAGTCGTGGTAGTAGTAGTAGCAGTAGTAGTAGTAGTAAGTAGGTAGTAGTAGTAGTAGTAGTAGTAGAAGTAGTAGTAGTAGTAGTAGTAGTAGCAGTAGTAGTAGTAGTAGTAGTAGTAGTCGTTAGTAGTTAGTAGTTAGTAGTTAGTAGTTAGTATTTGTAGTTAGTAGTAGTAGTAGTAATAGTAGTAGTAGTAGTAGTAGTAGTAGTAAAAGTAGTAGTAGTGGTAGTAGTAATAGTAGTATTTAGTAGTAGTAGTAGTTGTAGTAGTAGTAGCAGTAGTAGTAGTAGTAGTAGTAGTAGTAGTAGTAGTAGTAGTAGTAGTAGTAGTAGTAGTAGTAGTAGTAGTAGTAGTAGTAGTAGTAGTAGTAGTAGTAGTAGTAGTAGTAGTAGTAGTAGTAGAAGTAGTAGTAGTAGTCGTAGTAGTAGTATTAGTAGTTAGTAGTTAGTAGTTAGTCGTTAGTCGTTAGTCGTTCGTAGTAGTAGTAATAGTAGTAGTAGTAGTAGTAGTAGTAGTAGTAGTAGTAGTAGTAGTGGTAGTGGTAGTAGTAGTAGTAATAATAGTAGCAGTATTAGTGATAGTAGTAGTGGTCGTGGTAGTGGTAGTGGTAGTAGTAGTCGTCGCACTCTGAGTCTTAAGTGTAGTACTAGTATGTTATGACCCTCCTCCTCCTCCATTTCCTCCTCCTCCTCTCTCCTGCTTCTCCCCTCTTCTACCTCACCCCTCCCCCTCCCTCCTGGTTCTCCCCCATCTTTCTGTTCCCCCCTCCCCCCTCATCCCTTTTACCCACCACCAGGACGAGCGAGCAGACACAAGGAGGGGAGAAGGCGGATCTTCCTCCTCCTCCCCCTTCCTCCCCTCCCCCTCGTCCTCCGCGAGCTCGAGGCTCTCGGCCCGCATACTCCCCAGCGTGAGCTCGGTCCAGACCTCCCGGCACGCTCCGAGAGAGGAGGGGCGGCAGAAGAGGCGCAGCGGCAGCGGCAGCGGCAGCGGCACCAGCGGCATCGCCAGCGGCTCACAGCATAGGGCGGCGAGGCCTATACATAACCCATATGCGGCAAGGTTGCCCCACGACGCGGCAAGGTTGCCCCAAGACGCGGCAAGGTTGCCCCAAGAGGCCCCCAAGATGGTCCTCGAGGGTCCCGAATCGCCGAATTATGGGTCCAAGACGCCAAAGGAGCCTCCAGACGGCTCAAGAGGTTTCCAAAACGCACCAAGACGCCTCCAAGAGCACTCCCAAGAGGGCCCCAAGGGGCAGATTTTCCATACGTTTTCGAAAGATTTTGGCGTTCTCGCCATGTCGGCTTCCCGACGCTCCAAGACAACCATAGAGGCCCCCAAGATCGCCAAAGAGGCCTCCAAGAGGGCCCAAAAACGACCTTAGAGGCCCCAAGACCGCCCAAGAGGCCTCCAAGACAGCCCAGGAGGCCCCCAAGGCGGCTCCAAGAGAGAGCCCTAACGGGGGACCCGAACGGACGTGCGCTGCTGGGGCGTTCCGAGTGAGAGGCCAGAGGCCGGAAGCCAAGGGCCCGCCCAAGTGAGAGGCCAAGCTGACCTTAGTCCATGTACGAGGCCACTGGGGCCGAATGTCCGTGTCCGAGACCAACCCAGGGTCCGAGCTTGCGTGTGTGTGAGGGTCTGAGCTTTTTTTGTGAGGCCATCCTGGCGTACAGTGGAGGCCCGACCACAAGGAGCCTTCCACGAGGAAACCAACCCTGAGACCCCAGGACGTCCATCGATGTTTGGTGTGGGAATGTCACGCCTTCCATAGCAAAACCATCGAAACCCAAGAAACCCAGGGCCCCGTGGAGGCGAGCAGGGCGTTTCTTGGCATGGGCCTCCATTGTACTTCCATGTGCGGGGCCACCTGGCTGCAACCGCCCGAAGGCACAGAGCCTCCACCGGGAGCCCTGCTGGGCTCCTTGTACTACTTTGGCGCTGCCCGCCTACGGCAGCCAGGTAAAAGCACTCCTCTCCATCCTCACCCTGATTCCCTCTCGCGAGTTTAACGCGTTGCAGGGTACCGATTTACGGTCGAACAGTTTCACTGCCATGTATTTTCGGAGATGTCGTAGTCAGACATGTTTCGAAACCTAGCATGTCAGCGATGTGTTTGGCGTTCCCTCCTGGGTCCGAGTTGCTGCGCTCTTGGACTTTCTTATATGAAAGCAAGTACAACGTACAATTGGAGGATGTGCGTAGGCAACTTGCCATCTGGGTCGCAAGCTCTGTATGCTTCTTTCTGCTGCTGTTGCTGCTGCTGCTGTTAGCACCATCAACCCTATGTTGTTAAAATGCAGGCTCAGGCGCTTTGACCGTTCAGCTACATTCGGTTGGAAAAGAAATCAGCGATATCCGTCCACGTCAGAGTGCACGTTCAGAACATCGGGGCCGACGACAGGGGGATTAGCGAATCAGCTCACGTAGCTGATCTTCCCGGCGCCTCCCGACGACATCGCGAAAAATCATGACCGGAGCCCTATAACTCCCATCTCTCTGCGGCACTTTTCGAGCAGGATCCATTCGTGATGGCCCTGGGGCGGCAACGTCCGGCGTGAATAATTGCAACGCCTGGAGAACAGAGACCCCCCCGCTTCGTCCGACCCGAAGGTGCTCAGAAGTCCTGACCCTTTCCCAGTGCCAATGTTTGGTCGCCGAGCTGTTCTTCGATGGTCCAGCGAGGGCCCTCGGAGGCCAAAAACGACCAAGACTGTCCGTCGTGATTCTTGTCCCGACGCGTGCATGCCAAGATCGGTCAGCATCGAACCGCTAAATCGGATCGAATCTAAGAATGCAGCGGATCGGGCTGCATCGGCATGGACTCGAAATCGAGCGGACTGGCTGCGCCAGGATGCATAACAGCGCCATGCAAGCATCGGGCAGCATCGAACCGCCGCAATAGCAGAATGGAACCGCGTCGGGTCGGCCAATTACGGCATATCGGCGGGATCGAAATGGACCCTGGCCTGTCTGGGATGCGGTACGTCGTGATCCCGTCACAACGCGAGCATGTCTGTCGGGATCCACCCAAAAGGGGGATGAACCCTGAAAGGGGGACATGAAATCGATTCGCTGGTGCACCGAACTCCCGCAAACATATGCCCCCCGCATGCCCCACCCATCGGCAACTATCGGGAGCTGCCGGCGGCTGGGGGGGCATCTGCCTTGGGCGGTTCGGTGCAAAAGCCGATCGAACGCACTGTTTCCGTCTGCGGCTAGGCAGAGGGACTGCTCTGGCGATGTAGCACTAGTGGGACACACAAGTAGGGGAACGAAGAATGACATAAACAAAAATTATGAGGTCTGCGCGGATTTCTCGCATCCGCGCTGGACCCCCCTCCATGGCGCGCGGAGCGCGCAGGCGATCGACGAACTCACACTCTCACACACACACACACACACATAAACACACCGGGGCACACAAACCCCTTGCGGGATCTCCCGAGTCTGGCTGGTGCTGCCCTCACAGGTGCTGCCCGCTCCAGCCCCCGCTGGAAGTGACGCCACTCGGCCGCGGTAGGGGGAAAGAGAGAGCGTGTGCGCTGCTGGCCGCCCCTCGGCTCCCCTCCTACCGTGGAGGCCCGACCACAAGGAGCCTTCCTCAAGAAACCCAACCCTGAGACCCCAGGACGTCCATCGATTTTTGGTGTGGGAATGTCACGCCTTCCACAGGAGAACCATCGAAACCCCAGAAACCCAGGGCCCCCTGGAGGCAAGTAGGGTGTTCCTTGGCATGGGCCTCCACTGTAAGACGAAGCCAAGACGAGGACAAATTTGGGTGAGGATAAATCCAGAATCTCTGAGATCCGGCGGCTCCAGAGGACCAGAGGACGCACAGGGCGTCGCGGCCTTCCCAGAGCGTTCTGGAACGCTCCGAGAGCGCTCCGGAACGGCTCTGGAAGGGATCGACGACGATGACGATGACGATGACGATGACGGTGACGATGACGATGACTATGACGATGACGATGACGATACGTTCCGGAACGCTCTGAGAGCGCTCCAGAACGGCTCTGGAACGGATCTGCCCTCGTCCTAGTCCCGCCCGACCCCCTCCGCTCCCGTCACGATGCGAGCCTCTCTGTCGGGCGCGCCCCCGCGCCCGAGGCCGCCGCCTCGCGAGGCACTGCTGGGGCGGGTGGTTATGGGGGGTGGCCCAAATAGGAGGGAGGGAAGAGAGAAAGGCCCCAAGGGAGCCCTTTAGGGTTTGGGCACCAAGTGGCTCCAAAAGGAGCCCTAAAGCCTCAAGAGCCCCTTCAGTATGATACTGAAGGGGCTGTTGAGGCTTTAGGGCGAATGGTGATGCATATGTTGCGAGGTGGGAATTAATCCATATCCACCGCCTGGGAACCGACGTCCTGGTGCCCCTTCGGGCGGTGGATTTTTATGTGTGTGTGTATGTATAAATATATATATATATATATATATATATATATATATATATATATATATATGTTTCTCTTCCTATATGTTTACAAGCCCGGGCGGGGGAAAACCCATCCCCCCCTCCCCCCCAAAAAAACCGGACTCCCGGGATCTGGGGCTTTGGGACCCTTCGGACGGGCCTCGAAGCGGCCCCCAGGGCCTCGCAGGGCGTTTTGCCAAGCCTTCGCAGCACACCTGGGGCGATCAGGGGGGTTCCCAGAGAACCCCAAGACAGCACAAGAGCGCTCCAAGAAGCCGTCATACCCCGAAAGATCGTTCCAAAACGTACCAAGAGGCCTCCAAGAGCACCCCCAAGAAGGCCCCAAGAGGGAAAAATAATTAAATTAATGTAGGTTTTTAGTGAATTTGGGGTTTTCCTCTTTTCGGCTTCCCGACGCTCCAAGACAGCGGTCTTCTGGGCGTCCGGAGTCGCCTGGGAGGCTCAAAAATCGCCCCACAACCATCCGAAAGGGTTTCCAGGCAGTCCAAGAGAACCCCAAAACGGCTCCACAGGGGTCCAAATGGCCCTAAAAGAGCCCCATGGCGGCCCAAGATGGCCCCAAGACACCCTCCGAAGCATTCCAAGTCGTGACTGGGGCGTTCAGGGAGACCGCGGTTAGAGGCAGATTGGCCTTAGGAAGCCCCGGAGGCCCCCAGAACACGCCCAGGAGGCCCCCAGAAGGCTTTAAGAAAGCCTGAGAACTTTGGTGAGGCCCCCAGAGGCTCTCCAAGGAGGAGCCTCCGCAAAAAGAGCTGAGGAGGATGAGGAGAATGCCCAGGGTATGGCGAGAATGAGGAACAGCAAACGTGGAGGAAGGATAACGAACAACATCATTAGAATGGCGATGCCAGAAAAGGCAGCAAGGAGTTATCGCTAAATTGTCCGATTGACCTTCCTGCCATTTCCGCCTGCATACCAATCTTCAAGGACCAAGGTGCAGTGGCGCGAAGCGCCACTGCAGTCTTGCATATATAAATATGTTCGCCCCCCCCCCCCCCCCAGCACCCCCAAACCACGGACTGGAGGGCATCCTCTCCTTGATCTCTCCACCCTCTCCACACTCTCTCTCTCTCTCTCGCTCTCTCTCTCCCTCTCTGTCTCTCTCTCTCTCTCTCTCTCTCTCTCTCTCTCTTTCCCTCTCTCTATCTCTCTCCCTGGAGGTCACGATTTGGGCTGCAGCTTTGTTTTTCTCCTAAACGTCTTTGCGATGTCCGATAATCAGAAGAGCGCCCAAACCCCTACGCAGAAGAAGATCACCCGCCAGAAGCGCCAGTGGGCGGAGGCAGTCGCACAAGGGCGGACCTTCAAGCCCAAGAACGGATGGTATTTCAACACAGAGGACGAGCAGGCACTTTTCAAAAAAAACAAAGCTGGCGCACGACGGGGAGGTTGACAGCGAAAACGACAAGAAGGAGAACAAGGGGAAGAAACAGGAGGAGGACAAGAAGGGGGACGAGAAGGATGACACAAAGGAGGACACGACAGAGAGCACGAAGGAGGA